GGTTGGCGGGTGACATTTGTCCAGGTGTCCGAGAGTATTTTGGTATAATGTTGCGCAGACTGGCTAGTGTTCTGAGTAAGGCAGTTTCACTGAGGATTTGTAGAGGCGCTCTACTGTGCTAAATAGATTTTCTTAAGCAGTAGGGGAATCCAACCGACGTGGATTTGGCTCTTTCCAGAGGAATGTAAATGAGAGGGTACATCGAGATTGCTTGCAAAGTCTTCCAAGTGTGCTGAGGGGTTTCTTGGTCCAACTTGTCAGATTAATATTGTGGGTTAAGTCAGACTCAACTTATGCTATATTTTTATTCCATTGTGACACTGGTGCAATTGAGATTGCATCCTGATGTTAAATTTGAATTTAGCTTATTCTGTAGTTTATCAAATTCTCAAGGCCAGAAAACTGTCACACACAATGAGGGAGGAGAAGACAGTTTAACGCAGGCGCTTAACAGCTCCTGAATAGCGCCCCGAGTGGGGTGCTTTGAAACAGCTGGGCCGAAGATCTACGAAACCTCGTGAGGCCGTTCGAAGCATCACTACGTAGTTGCAAATGCGCGAATGTGGGAGTTCTGGCCGCAGATTGCAATCCCGCGTATGGATCAGGGATTGGATCGCAAATCTTCCCGATTCAGGGCTGCTTCATGCGCCTTCCTCAATTAAAACTAATTGATCAACTACAAGAATGCATCTTCATTTTTCAATATTTTCTTCAATAAAACCTCAAATCCGCTTTAACACATTTTTTTCTCAAGTCATTTCAAAAGACTGATTAATGTTCCTTCCAAAGAAAATCATTATATCAACTTGTTTTCTTCCAATTCCCAACGCTAGCCATGCCACCGCGAAGGGATACATCAGGCTCTACTCGGGAAGAGATCCAACTTGAAATTCATCGTTCGCAACAGAGGCTAGCCGAGTTAGATAACAGGAACCAGGAAGAGATTACCTTCGACTGTGATCGAGAGAGTGTTAGGGAAGACAAAGACGAGGATCTTAATTTAAAGATTTAAAAGCCAAATTCAATTGAGCTGCTTCAATTTGTTCCACAGGGAAGATCACAATGATGAAGAATATTAACCACGCCATTTTGGTATCCAATATGAAAGAAGACCGAGAAAATAGGCTTTTTATGGAGGACAAATGGACTTTGGCATCAAGATGACCTCTCAGAGTTCGAGGGAAGCATGGTCCCCGATGAGTTTATCAATTGGTTGGAAACAGTCGAACGAATCTTCAAATACAAAGACCTACCAGAGGACAAACGAGTCAAGCTAGCTGCAATTAAACTAAAGATGAATGCCTCCTTATGGGGGAAAATCTACAAAGGCAGATTAGGAGGGAAGGAAATGAAAAGATAACTAGGTGGGAAAAAAATGAAGACAATGAAGAAGAAATACATCCCACCGCGGTATCGCCAAGATGTGTTCTTACTTCACAACGAGATCTATTTGTCGAGGAGTTCACGTTCTAGTTCGATCATTTGCAGCTAAAGTACGAGCTGACAGAGCCAGAGGAGCACATGATCGCCAAATATCTCGGAGGCCTAAGACCTGCTATTAGCAAGGTGGTACAACTACAACTATACTGGACATTAGGGGATGTCTAAACACTAGCCTTAAAAGTGGAGAACAAAGTCGACAACAGTCATCGTTCAGACCTCCACCTTCAACGAAGTAGTTACCTGCAACAGCTACAACCAAGAAGGGTGCCTTCGAAGGCAATAACAGAATTGGACAAGAGACTGACATGACAGATCAGAACGGAGAGAATAAAAAAAAAGGTAGTTCCTTCAACATAGTGCCAGCTAAGAATTGTTTCCGGTGCTACGACTACGGTCACATTGGCTTCAACTGCCAAACAAGTCACTTCGTCACCCTCACAAATCAATGACGTTTATGGTCTCAATAGGAAAAGCACTAGGATCCACCAGTTGTCCATATGAATTCTCCTCTATGACTGATGATCCTTGTGGTTGATTTAACCCTAACTAGTTTAATTTCCTAGATATATCAACCACTTGGGAAGCCAAATGCAAAGAACGTTAGTGTTATGTGCGCTAATTACCTTCCCAGGGTTTGCTTGATCAAAAGACAATTGAAAGTTCTTTGTAGTCATCTTCTCAATCAAATAATTTACTTCATCAAAGGGTTTTGACATAAGGGAACCATTTGCGACTGCGTCTATGATCTACCTAAGAGATCTTTCTAACCCATTATAAAAGGTCTTAATTATCAACAAGTCTGACAATGCGTGGTGGGGACACTTCCTGAGGAGTTCTTTAAATTTTTCCCAGGCTTCATAAATTGGATCACCATCATGTTATCAAAATGATGTAATGTCATTCTTTAGCTTGACCATTTTAGAAGGTCGAATATACTTTGCTAAGAATTTCTGAGCAAGCTCATTTTATTTCCTAATTGGTTGAGGAGCTAAGGAGTTTAGCTATATGTTTGGCTTTTTTCCTCAAGGAGAAAGAGAAAAGCTATAGCCTTACGACATCTTGGAGACACTATTATAGCGGCATTCGATGCAGACTTCTAAAAAGCTCGCTAAATGGAGATTAGGGTCATCCAAAGGTGTCCCCCAAACTGATTGCTTTGCACCATTTGGATGATGACAGACTGCATTTCAAAGGTATTTGCTTCTACGACAGGGTTGTGGATACTAAGATTGATTTCGTCTACTGTAGGGTTGAAATAGTCTCTTACAGGTCTAGGGATGTCTTGATGATCAGGGTTTCTGGGTTATTCTGAGGATTATTCGCCATCTCACCTAAAAGTTGAAGTTTTTTTTTGTTTTTTAATTTTTTTAATAGTATTTCAAGCGCGGAGTCGTGGGGTTCAAGATCTAACGATCTAGCACTGCGCATACACTAACTAAGTTCACTAGCAAAGAAACTCTAAGCAAAAGAGAATAATAGACAAACAAAATAAAAGCAGACCACAAATATTATGCAACAAAAAGTCAAGAATCATGTGCACAATTAAATAATTATTAAACACAATTTTTGAAATTTTATTACAAAGACAAAACAATTTAATTACAGGGAACAAAAATTTTTATGTAAAAACATACAAATTCAATTAAAATTTTCCTAAATCAAATTCACCTTCATTCCCGACAAATGTGTTAAAAACTTGACATGCATCAAGTGTTGCTAAGCACGGGCGACTCACACAAGTATATGTGGCATATCAGTAGTATCGGAATTTGAGTCCGTTTGTCGATCTCACAGGGAACGAGTTGAATTCTAAGGAAAAGTTCTTGCTTACAATTTTCAACCAAAGCATGAAGAATTTTATTTGCAAGTTCAATTTTAAATATATTCAAAAGTTATTAAAAATTAGTCTATCCTAACAAGCAAAAAGATTCTTTTATAAATTAGAGGTTGAGAATTCCCCTCTTTAGTTTATATATGACTAAGGATTAGATTAAAAAATCTGTCTCAATCAGGAAAAAATTCTTCCTTATCCCCTTCCGGTGGTCTAAGGAGGAATAACAATTTTATATTTAGTTCCCTAGTACTATTGAATTGCTCATAAGAAAATATCTCCTCAAATATTGCATGAATCCAATGACAATATTCCTATTCCAATGAATTCATGTTGTTAACTCTTTTGTTCTATAAAGAATCCTTCTAGACATCAATATTCACAAAAGATTTTAACAGTCATCTGGCTAGATAGAAAGTAAATTAAGAGCTAACAAAACACTAAAGCCCAAACAATCTCAAATCCCTTTCATATTCAATCACCATCTAAATTGAAGAGGGAAACAAGATGACTACTCACCATTCAAGACAAAAATCATCAAAACAAACTTAGTTTCATGCATAAATTTCAAAACCAAAGTCCTTACATAGAAAATGTAAAGAGAATACAATGTAAACACACTTATCTCCTTTACAAGTTAGTAGTTTGTTGATGTTACTAACAGTAAACAATGAACCCTCTCAGTCCTCCCAATTTCTCTCTTTTCCTCTCTTCTAATCTCCTTGCATGTTGTGTGGCCTTCTCCTCCAAAATTCTCTCTCAGAAATGACAGAAGAAAAATGGTGAAAACCCCCCATAAATTCGTCTTCAAGCCTTTTATATCTCTTCTCCTTAATTCAAAGTTTGAACTGCCAATTTGAATTTTGGGTTTTGGCGCCTAGGCACCACTCACTTGAAAAACTTTTCATATGCGTCCGGTGCCATGGTGCCGCGATCGCGGCTTTTAAGTGCCGGTGGCAGCAACTGGACGCCCATGATGCGGCGCCACCTTTCAGTCTTGTCAGGATTGTGCGTAGGAAGTGATTGGCGCCTAGGCGTTTGACAAAACATTTGCTTCTACAATTCGATCCAATACGATTTCTGTTTGTCCCTTTCCTGCTACAACCTACATAAAACAACCTTAAACTTTGCTCAAAGTGCAATTTATCATATAAAATACCAAAATACAAATAACAACCATGCCAAATTATCGACATATCAGTAACGTACGACAGGGGGTGCTTCGGCTATTTTCTGTTTCGAGGTGGTGTTGTAAACTTCAAATTCCTTCGCTGCTACTCACCCATCCCTTTGTCCTACCACTCCACTAGTCACCTACCATCCCCACATTCCTCCGCTACTCTACTTCTACCCCGACTTCATCCACGACCTAGCCATCGAACCCATCTTCGACCAACCCCACACAATGCCCTACCTAACCAATGGCCGATCATCCCACCGACGCCGCTACCTATATCTCTAGCTACAGTTTTGTCTATTATTATATTTTCCTTTTGTTGAGTTGTGCGGTACCACTATTTTTATATTTATAAAAGTTTACTTTTTGTATTACACAACATCTCAACTAATTCCGGTATCACAATTTACTACTTTTTTCAAGAAAACTAAGACTGTTATCTTTATACAACAACAACAACAACAACAAAGCCTTAATCCCACTACGTGGGGGATTGACATGAATCCTTAAGACTGTTATCTTTATGAAGTTAAAAAAATATACTTGTAGGTTTCTTATTGATCTGGATATCTCGGCTCCTAAGATTACCATCCCCACTAACTTTTACCCTGACGACCATCATGCAACAAAACTACTTCTTGATTTGGGAAATTTGTTGCTCTGCACACAGGTAATGTTGTAGTCGTCTTAAAACATTGTTTTTATTGCAGCACTTTTGGCAGAATTAAAGTTTCTCATTGATACCAATACATTCATTTCAGGATTTTTGGAATAGTGATTCTTCTGAAGAGGATGCCATGTATATGCAGTTCAGTTTGATTCTAAATGACGTGTCTGCTTTTTTGGTTGACGGTGATTATAACTGGAGAGAAACACACCATGATGTCTCTTCTTGTGGAGCACAATTTTGTAATTTTTTTCCGGTTCTTGATAAATGTGGAATTGCTTTAAAGCTTCAACAGGTTTCCGTCTTTTAGACACGTCCTCTCTTTTCTTATGAAAGCATTTGAATGCTGATGCCTTTTTATTGTTCACTTTTTTTATTTTTTATTTTTACTTTAGATTCATTCAGAAACTCCTCTTTATCCATCAATGAGACTTGCTGCACGGTTACCATCATTGGGATTTCATATTTCTCCAGCTCGATACCATAGACTTTTACAGATAGCAAAGGTCTTCCAGGATGAAGCTTCTAGCCCAGATACTCCTCGGCCTTGGAGTCAAAGTGATTTTGAGGGATGGTTGTCTATTCTTATATGGAAGGTACTTATTGCCTTGTTTTTTGTGATTATGGTTTTGATAATTTTTTTGTTATTTTTAGTTTAATTATGTATACAACAACAACAACAACAACAACAACAAAGCCTTAATCCCTGCCTTAATCCCTCTACGTGGGGTCAGCTACATGAATCCTTTTTCTCCATTGCGTCCTATTTAGTGTCATAGCCTTAATTCTGTATACGGCGTTGTAATTTCTATGGTTTATATTCTCATCAAGTGCGGTAATCTAATAGATCACACTACAGACTTGTTTAGTTTTAATGGGACATGGCTTGCATTAGAATTTTGATTCGGTTGGGTTTCTTGATTGATGCCGAGCAATTACAAGAATAGTATTATATACTTAGAAGTAGGTTGGTTTGTAATGTTACTTTTGATAACAATGAATTGATGATGATGAGAATAGTCCAAACATATAGTGGAATGCTAAAAAATGTAATTGGAACACTTTAAAGTAAACTATCATCTTGAACTTAGCTCTAACCACTTGTAGGCACTCATTATGTGACAAAATGTCCACAAAGAACATCCTTCTTCTATTACTGTTTAGCAATGTGCATGCTATTCGTATGAGTAGCCTTTTATGGATAACTGAATTCTATTTCCGAATTGAAATGAATGATGATTTTGCTCTCGTTGATGATTGCCTTGTAGATTTTTTACTTGGGAGGGAAGATCATGAATGTTAACCAATTTTTTATAATGCTATTATCCATCTTATCACCATAATTGTCATAGGAAAGATTGTGATTTCTTTGATATATTATTTCTTTTCCATGGTGTATGTTAATGTTCTTTGTGTTTCAAAACTTTGATACTTAGTGTAGATATTATGCGTCTTTGATCTTATTTGTAAAGTTTTGTTAATAATTTTCTGCAATAATTTTTGATAGGGTGTGGGGAATAGGGAAGCTGTATGGCAACGCAGATACTTATGCCTTGTTGGTCCCTTTCTTTACGTATTGGAAAATCCAAAATCACAATCTTACAAGCAATATATTAGGTATCTTCTCTTTTGTCTATTTACTTATGATTTTAAAGGTATGTTTTATCAGTGACATCAGTGTAGTCTATGTCACCTTGCAGGCACCGACGCAAGATTCCACGAATGGAATCTCCAAGTAAGTTACCCCAGATTTCTTTGCAAGCATTGGTTGATCTTTTGATCCTAGGTTGACGAAATAAAAAAACTGCTCAATTGACTGAGGTCACTTGATTGAGCATCTCAAACCTATGAAAATGCTTGGGTTGGATCAAATCCAAGCATACTTAAGCTAAGTTTAACCTTGTAACAGTTAAAAAAGGGATATAAATGAGCCGAGCTTAAGTGATATTTTTGTGTTTACATTCGACTAGCCCAAATTTGAAAGAGGCTCGTGTCCAAAAATTTTTATAACATTTTATTTGGGATTAATTCAATTTCATCATATAACCTTGTTCGAACTTGAGCTGTTCACAAACAACGAGCATTTTTCATATGTAAATAGAGAACAGTAGGTGGTAGAGTAATTTAAAATGTTATAAAAATTTTCACATTATAACATACCTTTAAAGTGACCTCAACCAATTGAGCAGTTTTTTATTTCGTCAACCTAGGATCAAAAGATCAACCAATGCTTGCAAAGAAATCTGGGGTAACTTACTTGGAGATTCCATTCGTGGAATCTTGCGTCGGTGTCTGCAAGGCGACATAGACTATACTGATGTCACTGATAGGGGGTGAGAATCTACTTTGTGAGTTTTTGGAGCAAGGTTAGATCACTGTTGAATTAGCTGTGGGAGTTTTTTTTAAGGGCCATGCTTACTAAAATTGAAAATGAGTTATTCTTTACAAAAAATATCATAAAGTGCTATGGTAAGGTGAATTGTTTTAAAAATTCCATTTACTTTTCCTATGATTTGTTGAAATTCTCCATTGTGGTTTATAGTCATGTTTTTTTCTTAAAAATTTTTCAACTCTTCGTCGTCAGCTAACCGAAAGCATTTGCTATGTTATTTGTTCACCTCTGTTTCCCCCACTATAAGGCCCACATGCATGCATAGAGGCACACATATATCACTCGGCTTCTGTTTATAAGCCCAGATATTAAGCATGCTTTTGTTTCTCTGTTCCACACTTCTATTCTCTCTTTTGAGCTCAGAATTTACTATTTCAGTTCGACACAACAATTTTAATATATATATATATATAGACACTCGTATGTATGTATATATAAATTTATTTATTTAAGTGCTTATGTCCATACCTGGATGGCGAGGCTTTTCCAGGCGTGTATCTAATAATGTGATAACATGTGAATAGTTCAATTAATGTTAACTGGTGGCATTTTTTTTACACGTTTCATTTTAATTGTTATATGCATTGCTAAATTATTTTCTTTTACAGTTTACGAAGTAAACAAGTGCATCAGGTTCCCAAAGAGTCCAGTGGCGATTCACAAAATTTGATTGCAGTATATGATGCTGCCCAATCGAACCTTAAGGTTAGTTGTTTAGCATTCTAGATAAATTTTTAGTTATTTTTCTTGATTGATTGCTTATAATAATGATTTTGTTTTCTAATGAAGGTGGAAGATGGTAACGCATTGGTATTACGTTGTGATTCTGATGAATCACGAAGAACTTGGCAAAATCGTCTTCAAGGGGCAATATATCGTGCATCGGTATTGTTAATATATATATATAAGTTGAAGTAGATATAGACGATTGCAACCTGTGTTTACTTTAGTGTTCATACTTCTATTCAAGCATCCATGAACATGGGTATGTTGTAGTTATGTTGCATGCTTATAAATAGCTGGATGGGTTCAATGTTTAAGTACAATAAAATTATCGTGCACGACTCATTTAGTATGATACTTTCCTAATTTATATATGTACTCACATGTACATATTTATATGTCTATATTTCCAAATTGTTACTTAATTTAGAGGAAGGTATATCATCCAGAGCATTTATCAAAATATCGGCAACTTGTTCTATATTATATTTATGAGAGTTGAGGATCTTTTTGAAAAAAAGCAGCTTCTTGAATGAGTTGCCATTTTTAGGGAATCTAAAGGAATTATTAGTGACGAAAGTTGCTTTAATGGGGTAGTAAATCATGGCATATCACTTAGCAAGTCCCTTCTTTACCCACCCATCTTACAGCAGATGAGTTGCATTGCACAACCAGATGATGCGGGAGCTACCCAGGAGGTATTTACATGACTTCTGCTACAATACCACGAGCCTTGCTACAATAGTGTCCCTCAGAAAGCTACCTACCCTACTGGACCAAACTGGTCTAGGTTTTTGTGTGAGACTGGAATTTACCGATTCTTTTGGGCCACTCATAGTTATCCTATTATTATATCTTTGCTTTCGTAGGAGTCTGGGGTTTGGTTTTGTGTTTGTTTGAGATTGCCGCTGCTCCGTTTTCTCATCGAGGGCAGTATTCGAGGTTTTAGTGGTGTTCCGGCTTTATCCCTATCCCGAGGTCGTATCTTTCCTATTCCATTCTGCATCTTCCCCATGACACTTCCGGACACCCTCAATCTCTGTAGCTGCCTCTGAACAGCATTCGCTTGCTGCTTTTCTCTGAAAATTTTCAATTCCAGCCCTTCTAGATCACCGCCACCACCCTGGACAGCTGCCCCTTGCTGTCCTGCAATCCCCTTCTTCATCCCCCTTCGCTGCCACCAATTTTATCAAATGCTGCAGGTGCCCGAGAGAGCCATCTTTGCTGTTAATCCTGCAGTCCAGCCGCCTGCTTCCATCTATCCAGCCTGTTGCTTTGTGGCCTACTGTTTTCCTGCTGTACTCTGGGTGTTCCAACCTTTCCCACCACACCTCGCTGCTCCGCTTGCCACCCCACGTGCTGTCTCTGCTGTCCCAGTCTCCCAGTCTCCCTAACTGATACTTCCATCCCTTTTGGGGAAATCACTCACCTTCCCTACCTTGCTGCCACCTTTCCAAGCACTTACACCACTCGAGATCCACCCCAACAGCGTGTGGTGTCGTAGTGTTATTATTTCACAGTTCAGTGTGTGCTTGGTTGTAACAACGTATTTGGCATCTTTAATAATAATATTTGCTTTACCTAATACCCTTTTGGTTAACTCCAGTTTCACTATGCTTCAAACATTCAAGGGTAATTCTTACCTGTATATTATTTCAACATCAATCTTCGAACTTCTTGTCATTACTTTTTTGATGGATAGCAGATTTTGGTATAAGAAACAATTTCTCCACGGTGTCCAGAGATGAAGAGAACTTACTATTGCTTTGGGACATGCTGCTGGTTGTTTCAGGAAGCAGGGTAAATGCTCTGTAGACTTGAATGTAGAAGATACTGGAGGTTAGGAATACAACGGTTCTGTTCTCCGAGGAAATGGTGGGGTTGGATTCTCTTCACGTTTACCCTTTATGTGACCCAGTAACTCAGCCCGGTTTCTTCTTTTTCAGTAATTTTACCCGTTTATTTTGATCCTCACACTGTCAGGATTGGATTTGAATTTTTGGTTGATTTCATTTTAATGAAATTTAGGGTAGGAATCAGGAGATTGTGGGGGTTAGTTTAGGAAGCCCTCGTAAATGAAGGGATCTTTGGATATATATTCGCCTTTGCTTGTGCTGTACTAATTTTCTGTTGAAGTACTCAGAATTTGATATTAATATGACATGAAACAAATTCTGACCAAGTTTCAGTACGAATTCTACTCAAAGGCTACCACGTTTTAATTGAAATGCTTAGTCAGAAAAGAGCCTGATATTCATGCAGCTAGGGGCAAAGTTCGAGCGGAAAAAAAAAAAGGACTGACTGCTTCTAGTTCACCATTTTTTATCATGATCAAGCAAAGCGTAGGTTATGTATTGTTCTCTAAGGTTGTCAGCTAGAGTTAACGTTAATAAAAGTACTTTTGGTTCAGTTTGAAAGAGCTTGTTGGCTTCAAGAAAATGATGTTCACTAATGGTTTCGTTCATTAGTGGATTGCTGAGCTTCTTTCTCCATTGTGACTGAGTGGATATTGGATTTGAGTTAAGATAATGATTATTGTTGGCTTACCGGAAGACGAGCTGCTTTGTTGGTTTGAGCAATTTGGAATGGCTTTAGGTACCTTCTGATGTTGGTATTTTTTAGCAGCGCTTAAATTAAACATTTGAATAAAAATAGAAGCAAAAACTATAGAAAGCAACAAACTAAAATGGAAGGGGAAATTTGTACCACACAATTCTTATGTATTTACATATCTAACACCTAAAGTTTGATATTTACATTTATAACATCACCATGTCATAAATCTATGCATAAGTGTATTTCTAGTTGAAGAGTTAATAATTTTAGTATTTTTATCTAATATTAAAGATTTTCATATTATGCATGTAAATATGAAAGCTTAGGCATTAAATATGTAAATATTTAAAAATTGCATGGTATATATGTAAATGCAATAGGAGAAAAATCGAATTTCATAGCCTTGTATGTATTCGTGTTGAGGAAATTTACCAGGATGCGACGATGGTGGCTGTAGAGGCTGTTTTGGGATGGCACTTGAGATTCACTTTTTGAGAGCTGGGTTGTTTTATTAATTCATATAGGTTCAAAGAAATTTCAAGACTGTATGTATGTAAAGTGATGCGGTGGCATGGGATTGTAAGGCGTGGGAGTCCTGAGTGAGTGAGCGCCTAGGCCTGGTGGAGGGTCGCCATGCCGGCTCGGTCTAGAGCGAAGAGGTATTGGGAGGCTCTTCGTTGCGCACGGTTCCATCCTTTTTGGAGCGGGTCCTACTCAGTTTTCTGCCGACAACAACTTTTTCCTTGCTAGGGCTATATCTGAGGACAGGTGGTGCTCCGACTGTATCCTGTTCCAAGTTGGTGATTAACTCTGCATATTTCCTTCACTTTTCCCTCTCTCTTACTTGCTGCCGCCCTCTTTTTCCCCTCCATCCGCTCCTTCCAGGTTATTACCGCCCTCCCTGCTTTGTGCCCCTGCTCTCCAGCCGCAGCAAACTAGTTCTTGCTTGCTACAACACACACCATAGGTTCGTGCTCGCTGTCCAGCCGCCAAACTACCTTCCCCTCGCTGTTGTTAAACCACTCTACCACCTATTGTTCTCTGCTTTCACTACCTCGACATGCAGCCCACAACCCTCGGTCCTCTCCCTGTCTTGTGTTTGTCATTGTTTTTTATGTTCAAGTTTCTTTGTTTCTAACCTCTTTTGAATTTCAACAATAATATTTACATTTTTTGTGGTTTTGGGTTAACTCCAGTATCATTTGATATCATAGTTGACCTGCCTAGTCACATCCTAAGGTTTCTAGCCTTCCTACACATCTCCACCCCAAAATTTTTCTTTTCCATCCAAAATACGCTCTTGCACTCCCACAAGTCCAAACCCTAACCATGCAAACAAGAAGACACATTTTGGAACATACCCGAGAAGAGATGCAGCGAGGGATCCGTCAACTATAGCAGAGGCCTGCAAAGATTGATAATGGAACCCAGGGGGAAATTTCTCTCGATCATGATATGGAGAGTTGAAGGGGATAAAGAGATGAGAATCTAAATCCTTTCCATAGAAAAGACTTTAGTAATGATGAGGACATATCACAACGCATCAGAATTTATTGCTAGAGGAGGCTGAGAGAGGTGGCGACATATGAAGGGCATCGAGATTTCAGGGTAAAAGTGAATCTTCTGGAGTTCTATGGAGGGATGGATCTAGATGATTTCATCGAATGATTGCAGCCGGCGGAGAGAATCTTCGAGTATAAAGAAGTGCCAGAAGAAGTGGGTGAAACAACCATGAAATTGAAAAAAAGTGTTTCCTTGTAGTGAGAAAACTTGTAGAGGCAAAGAAAGAAAGAAGTGGCATGATTATTATATATGAGAAGATGAGGAAGGAGACACAGAGAAAGCATTTACCTTTTCACTATCAGCAAGATATGTTTGTGAGGCTCCATCACCTACAAGAAAGAGACCTATTAGTGGGTTGAACGATACAGTTTAACCAGCGGCAGATAAACTTTGGATTGATCGAGTCAGAGGAACATACCATAGTCCAATATTTGCGTGGTTTAAAGCCAATTATCAGCAACTTTGTGCAATTGCAGTTCTATTGGTCATTGTGAGATGTCCAAACCGCAACCTTGAATGTGGAAAGGCAGTAGAGACAAAACAGCCAACCACCCTCATTTAGACAACTACCTATAGTTGTAGCTAGTAATTAGGGAATATCAGGAGTTGGGAATATTGGATAAAGAAGTGACCAGATAAGCCCGAGTGGAAAGAAACGCTAAAAGAGCAATTTATCCAATATTTTGCATGCCAGAAGATGCTTTAGGTGTTACGATTACAACCACTTAGCCTCCAACTGCTGCATGAGTCGAGTTGTTTCATTCACCGGGCATGGTGTCATTGAGGAAGTGAGTGAGGAGGAAGCACATGAGGACCAAGAGGAATAATTTCAACTCTAGAGAGATAAGGGAGAAATGCTAGTCATAAGGAGAGTTGAACAGACCGAGTCGGAGAAGGATCATTCATGACTAAGGCAGTATTTTCCGCATCAAGTGTATCATGAAACAAAAGGTCTACAGTCAGATTATTTACGATGGGAGCTGTGAGAATGTAGTATCTACTTTGATGGTGAAATAATTGTGACCGACTCCTCCCTTAACTGGTTGAAAAGGGGAAATGTGATTCGTGTGAATCAACAGTGCTTGGTTGAGTTTTTCATTGGAGATCAACAATAGGAGCAGGTGTGGTGCAACATGGTATCTATGGACACTTGCCACATTTTGTTGGGGAGATCGTGGCAGTTCGACCTAAGGTCCAGCATGACGGGTTCAAGAACACTTATTCATTCAAAAAAGATGGAAGATACACAATTCTTTTACCCGTCAGAAATGTGGGAGGAGTAGCATCTCAAAGGAGACGGTAGTCCCATGAGCCTCATTTATGCTATTGATATGAGAGGCTCCAATGACATTGACTTTAATCATGTTAGAGGGAATTGAGGAGGAGGTTAAGATACTAGAGAGCTTGCAACTATTGTTATGAGATTTTTGGGACGTGATGACTGACAGCCTTCCAGAGGGTTTGCCACTATTAAGGGACATTCAACATGACATAGATCTCATCCCCAGATTACTGTTGCCAAACAAACATGCCTATAGGCTGAGACTTACAAAGTACGAGGAATTACATCGAGAGGTACATGAACTCATTGAGAGAGGTTTGGTTAGAGAGTGTACTAGCCTGTGTGCTGTCATGGTCTTGATGGTAGCCGGGCCATTAACAAAATCACTATCAAATACAATTCCCAAACATCGTCTGGATGACCTCCTGGAGCAGTTGCATTGAGCCATTGTCTTTTTCAAGATCGACTTATGCAGCAGTTATCACCAGATCCGGATGAGACCTAAGGACGAGTGGAAGACTGCTTTCAAGACCCGAGACAACGTATACATGGGGAAAATCATGCCCTTTAGATTGTCTAATGTGCCCAACACATTCCTGAGATTAATGAATCAAGTGTTCCCGACTCACATCAGAATGTTTGTGGTGTTGTACTTCGATGATGTTCTAGTATATAACAGATCAGAGGAGGAGCACTTACAACATTCGAGGACGGTCTTCGAGATTTTGCTATCATAGAAATAATACACTCACCCAAATAAGTCCCACTTCCTGACGGTATAAGTATGTTTTTTGGGCTATATTGTGTCCAGTGCAGGCATTCAGATGAATCCCACAAATATCAATAGCATCGTGAGTTGGTGGGCCCCACATTCATTTATCGAGCTGAGATATTTTTTAGCTCGACATCATTCTATAGGAGATTCATCAGGAGCTTCAACGCCATCACAACTCTCTTGACAAAAATTTTGAAGGAGTTGTTTCAATGAATGAATATAGCTCAGTCCAGTTTTGGTACATTGGAGGAGATGACGACGTAGGCACCAGTATTGGCATTACTAGACTTCGATCAACTGTTCGAGGTGGAGTGTAACGCCTCAAACGTAAGAACCAGAGCAGTATTGAGTCAGGGAGGCCACCCCATATCATTCTTGAAGGAGAAGTGAATGAGTTTAGGAGAAAATATTTGATGTCCGACAAAAAGTTCTATGCGATCGTGAGAGTTCTTAAGCATTGGATTCACTACTTGTTGACTAATAAGTTGACCTTATATATTGATCACGAGGCTTTAAAGTTCTTGAACAACCAGAACAAACTGAAGGGCGGTTCTTCCTTGCACTTGGTTCCCTTTTATGTAGTGCGGGGCCCACTCATCTTTACCCTAAAACTATATATATGTTATTTTTTGTGTGTTAGATCAATTTTTGCTTCGGTTTTTTGCTGTCGACGTCTTTTATTTTGCTAGGCTGTATCCGAGGACAAGTGGTGCTCTGACTGATTCCCGCTTCTAGTTGGTGCTACTTCTGCATATTTCTTTCACTTTTCCCCTTCGCTTGCTTGCTACTGCTTTCCCTTCCCCCCCTTCTTATTGATGTTGCCTCTCCCTACTTCCAGGTTGCTTTTGCCCTCCCTGCTCCACACGCATGTTGTCCAGCCGCACCAAACTAGTTCCCGTTTGCTGCCGCACATGCCACAACTTTTTGCTTGCTGTCCAGCCTCCAGAGCACCTTTCTCTTGTTGCTGTTAAACCTTTCTAACATCTACCGCTCTGTTTCCACAATCTGGACACGCAACCCACCACTCTTGATCTTCGGCCTCAGGGTTTTTTTGTTTGTGCTGTTTTTTTTTTTTGCAATTGTCTTTATTTGTAATCCCTATTGAATTTGAACAATAATATTTTTATTCTGTTGTGGTTGTGGGTTAATTACGGCATCATAAAGTGCTATATAAAGCTTATTTCTTTACATTTTTTTCTTTTTTTTAGCTTTTTGGTAATTTGTGATTTCAAAGAAGTTGGCTCGACATACTTTTCAACTTTTATCTTTCCTATTCGAAAATTTAATTTTATTTACATGTGGCTTTATTTCTGCCAACTTCATTTACAAGCTTTAAAGAAGTTTTGTATGCTGTTGTTGTAGGGTTCGGCTGCTTCCATCACTGGCTTTTCTGAGATGCCATCTAGCCCCGATGCTACAGCCGCCAAATCCTCTGATAGCAAGGTACTCTCAGAGGGCTGGAATATTGAGAAAATGTTTGTTACCGGCGTCCTTGATGAACTACGGGTTTGTTTTAGCAGTAATTATGAGGTAGCATCCCATTCTTGTTGTTGTGAACTTAAAAAAGTTCTAAATAAAGTTCCAACTATTTCTAAACTGATTCTTTCTTATGAATAGGGAAATTTAAATTTTAAAAAAGTGCTGCTTGGCAATGAAAACCAATTGTTTGAGTTCCGTGCATTGGGTGGTCAGGTATGTATCTTAATTGAATTGTATTCTTGTCATCATTTTAAAGGTTGCTCTTTCACTTTATAATTTTACTTACTGGTGAACAGGTTGAGCTTTCACTTAGGGAAGATATAATTTATATTGGTACCCTATTAAAATCACTTGATATATTAGATCAATATCAACTTGCTAGAGCTGCTTTACCCAGATATCTTGCAAGATCTTTCATAAAGAATACAAATGAAACCATACGGGATATTGATCAACTAAATCAAGCTGACAATGAAGATAAGTTTTTTGAAGCATCAGACGAACTTGATGATGTTGTTTTGAATCCTACACAACGAAGTGGTAGTATGTCAGAATATTTTCCTGCTCTAGCCTCTTCTCTCTCTTTAAGATCTTCTATGAAGCCTCCCAGCTTCAGAAGAATTCCCGGCTTAATCCCCACTACAGATATTGCAAATATAAGTTCAAATTTGGAAACTGCTGTTATTATAGATAGTTTTGTGAAAGCACAAATGGTTTTGTATGGGCAGGATTCTCCTCATTACAATAACTTGGATAATAGAGTAAGATTATGCTTTTTCTCCTGAAGTTTTTTTGTTGATTTAATTCGTTATCGTTGAGATTTGCAAGATTTGATCTTCCTATCAGGTTGTAATCACATTGGCTACTTTGTCATTTTTTTGTCATCGCCCAACAATTCTTGCAATATTGGGATTTGTTAATTCTATTAATTCTGATGAAAGGATCCATGATCCTACTGGGGATGTTAGCAAGTCTCCCAAGGCCATTAGTAACACTTCAAATTTAGAATCAGTTGATGATCCTAATAACAACATTATTCAGGAGCCAGTTGCGAAAGGGTTTCTAGGCAAAGGAAAAACCCGAATCATATTTTACCTGTCACTTAATATGGCCACAGCGCAGATATTTTTGATGAATGAGGATGGGATCTCTCTTGCTACTTTGTCACAGAGTAATTTGCTTGCTGATATCAAGGTTTGTAGAAATTACTAGCATGTATTGTTTCTTCCATCTTTGTTTTTTGTTTGCTTTTGGATTGATTTGAAGTTCATTGGTCCTCTAGGTATTTTCATCTTCCTTTAGTATAAAAGCTGCTCTTGGTAACCTGAAAATAAGTGATGACACTCTGCCTGAAAGTCATTCATATTTTTGGGTTTGCGACATGAGAAATCCAGGTGGAAAATCATTTGTTGAGGTACAATTCAATCTTTCTCTTAAATTTGTTCCCATTCATTTTTTTAGGGGTGTTAATTTGGGTCAGCGGGCTATGCTCGGGTACAAACCGCCAATGACCTTACCTGAATAATAAAAGGGTCAAAAAGTAAGACCGAAACCCAACCCAAACCCGAGCTTGACCCGCTAACCAAAATTGACCCGGAATTTCGTGTTTATTCAGATTAATTTTGGGTTTTTGGGTTTGACTTGTACTCGATCCGAATAATAAACGGGTTGAATTATCTGACTCGAATCCGACTCAAAAAATATTCGGGTCAACCCTAAACCGGAATTTTCAAGTTAAGTTCAAGTTGTGCAGGCGTGTTGGGTCAATTTTGATGCCCCTACCCTTTTTTATGTTTGCCTGTTAATATTTTCTTGGAGTAATTTATTACTTGTTAACTTGTCCTGTGAGTTGGTATGATACCTATCTTATATGATTTCTCAAAATCTGAACTAAATGCTTGGCAGACTTCTTAAGCAGTCAAATTGAAGTAATTTTCTTATCTCATACATGCTGGCTGCTGCACATATGCTTGTAAATTGTTTTTGTTCCTTAAAATTACGTTGGCATACTTTTATCCCATGATCCCTTCATGGTTTAGGTTGCAAACTTCAAGCGCTAGTGCTCATGCTGTTCATTTGAAGTGTCTACCATTTTGACTTGGGGTGGGATGCGCTTCTGCAAATCTGCTGTACCAGGAACGAACCGGTCCAGGTTTTTTTCATGACGTGGCGTTGGCTGGTCATCTTGGGCAACTCCTTGTTGTCTTGTTATTATATATTTTGATTTTCTGATGTTTTAGGTTTAGGCTTTGGTGTATTTTGTTTCGGGTGTGTTACTTGCGTTTCTTCTTCCCTTCAAGGGCTGTATCTTGGTCTCCAGATGGTGTTTCGGCTGTATTTTGATCTCCAGGTGGTGATTTTCTTTTCTATCCCCTTCCACATCCTTCCCTACGTCTCTTTTGACTTGCCTTTATTGCTGCAGAGGCCAAGAACAACAGTCATTGCTATTTTTCACCGCAATTTTCCAATTCTATCTGCCTGTTCTCGCTGCCACAGCACCGGACAGCCTCGAACAGCTATCCTCTTGCTATCCTGCTGTCCCCCGCACCCCATTGCTACTGTCATCATTCCCCCTCGCTGCCGTCACCCGAAACAGCGTCTTTTTTCTGTTCACCTGTAGTTTTTGTCTTCCAACCTCTCTTTTTTGTCACCTCCAGCCCTCCCGATCACTTCTCCCATTCCTCTCTTGCTTGGATCTACTTGTCCAGCTTTCCCGATCACTTCCTTTGGTTGTTTTTCCCTCACTTCCAACCTTCACGGGTGGGGGCTCCATTGCCTGGAATCACCTCTATTCGCTTTCATATTTGCATTGCAGCCCTCATCCTCCTTGCTGCTGCATAAGACAGCAAGGACCTGCTGTTCCGCTATCACCTCCTCCATCTGCTTGCTCCATCTCCCCCATTTTACCGCCACCTTTTTCGGAACCCCACCAGCCACAAACACTACCACCACGTTCGATTCACTCTTGTCGCTTTTTATGTGTTGTGTGTGCTGTTATTTTCCTAAAATTGTAGTTGTCCAGTAGCTTTTCTAGTAATAATAATTTTTTCTTATTGTCATTTGAGTTAACTCCAATATTATTTGGTATCAGAGCTAGCCTAACCTTAATCCTATACTAAGGTTTCAGTATCCACTTATACCCAACCCTATCGCTACACAAAATTTCCTTTTCTTTGTTGGTTTTTCAGACCAACCACTAAAAGATTTTCCCACCCTATACATTCTTATATACCCTCTTTCACATACCCAAAATCCAATTTTTAGTCACACCACTGCCGAGACAAGTGCTAGATGCCAATCAGGAGTTTATCATGGAGGAGATACAACGACAACTTCATCGCTACAACGGCTCGATGAAATTGAGGAAAGGAGACTATTCATAAGGGTCACCCGAACTCCATTTGATTTGAGAGATAAAGGATCACTGCCCTCCAGATTTGACATTAAATATTTGAGAAGTCAAGATTTTGAGGTGATGGTGTCTTTGACATATTTCAACGACTACATGGATTCACACGATTTTATATAGTGACTCTAAACCTTGGAATGTGTCTTTAAGTGTCAAGATGTCCCACTGGATAAAATTGTGACACTGGCCACCAACAAGTTAAGGAAGAGTGTATTCTTTTTGGTAGGAGAACTTGAAGTCCGACAGTGAGAAGCGTAGGGTAAACTTACGACCTGGTCTAAGATGGAACGAGTGATGCAGCACCAATACCTACTAGTTCTTTACATACAGGATGTTCAAACTCTAGTTTCAAATGTAGAGAGTCATCATCAACGGGTGATCGTGGCATCTCACAGGCAGAGTTCAACCCAGGAATCAACAAGAGCATAGGCAACATAGCATCCAAACTGACCCCGCCTGAGACACTAGTCCATAGTAGAGAATAGGCAGAAACAATCCACATTCCCAAATTTGTACTAGCCATAAATAATTAGAAGAATGATCTCTTTCACTGATTGAGGAGCAGCTGAATAAATAAACAATGATCAAGGAGAAGATAATTTCAGAGAGGATTCTCAACTTAAGAGACACCAACAGTTCTAGATGATCCCATGAGAGCAACTCCAACTAAATTAATAGTAGTTGTTTTAGAAGATAGTGAGTCTTAAGAGTCTATACCTGAGAAGGGACAAGCCATATTGACGGAATTACCAGACATCCTGATTGACGGGTTACCTATTGGGTGGTTGTCATTGAAAGTGGTTGTTCAACATGTCACAAATGTGAAGCTTGTTAGATACTTCTAGATGGTAATATAAAGTTATTCGAATATTAAATTCATTTCAAAGTGTACCCACCAACAAATGACTAGACATGAGGGATGAACCACAACATTAGAAATTACCTTAGGAGCTTGGTGATAAAGAAAATTCTATGTTATTTTTAGTATGAAGCTGAATGATTCCGGAGGAAATAATCGATGCACGACAATGTGTTTTATGTTGTAGTGAGAGGTCTTGAACACTAAATTTGTTTTTGCTGATGAACGAGTTCACATTATTCACAATCCAGGAAGCGTTGAAATTCTTGAACAACAGATAAAGTTGAAGGATCGACACGCAACTTGGATTGAGTTTCCAACTTCATTTCAGTTCGTGCTTAAGCACATGGTGGAGAGTCAAAACTGTGTAGGAGATCACTGCAATGCGGGCTCGTGTCTTGGACTTAGAGGTAGTAAAGGAGATTTTCAAGACGGATGAGGATTTCAGGAAAATTTGAGAGTAGTTCTAGGAAAGCCACAATGATGTGCATTCCAAGATGTTCGTTGAGGGAATCTATTGTTCAGGAAAGCCACAATGGAGAACTCACCAGGCATTTTGGCAGGGACAAGGCTCTCTCACTCATGAGAGAACACTTCTTCTGGGACCGACTAACGAGAGATGCAAGGCAACATGTCAGGTAGTAATGAACTTATCATATGAAGAAAATCAAGGGCAAAATGCATGGTTATACTCCCTCTTACTAGTACCATAGACGCCATGGGTGGTCGTTGACATGGACTTTGTGGTGGGACTTCTGAGGACATTGTGAAATAAATGATTCAGTCACGGTCGTTGTGAATTGATTCTTGAAGATGACACATTTCATAATTTTTCACAAGACACTGGATGCCTCACCCATCGCTAAGTTGTACTTCAGAGAAATTGTGAAACTATGTCATGTTTCTTAGCCACTTCTGGAGGAATTTGTGAGGGTAATTAGACATTAAGCTCCAATTCAGTTCTGCAGCTCACCCTTAGACGAACGGTCAGATGGAGGTAGTAAATAAGAGCTTTTGAGATCTGCTGAGTTGTTTTGTTGGGAAGAATATCAAGCAGCGGGACTTGGCTCTAGTGCAAGCTGAGTTTGCGTACAACCGATTAGTATGTCAGACCACGGACCGCACCCCATTTGTGGTCATGCACGGGCGCAACCCTGTCACTCCACTGGAATTTGTACTGCTTTTATCGACGTTAGAGAATAGTGAGGATACCAAGGAACAAGTGCATGAGATTCAAAAACTCCACGGGGAAGTCGAAAAAGAGATTGCTAACTAAGATCACAAGTACCAAGCACAGGCATACAAGATAAGAAAAACTTTGACTTTTCGAGGAGATCTCGTACGGATTTGGCAGAAGAAAGATTTCTAGTAGGCGCATTCATAAAAATCAAATCCTGAGCTGACCGATCATTTAGGATACTTCAGAAATTGATTTACAACGCCTTTAAGATCGAACTGCCAGAGGACTAAAATGTTGTGGATCTGACACCCTATTACAAAAATTCAGAAGTTTGGATAGATGATGTCGAAGGTGCCCCAATCCTGCGAGACTGACAAAAGGTTGGGTCGTGGCTGAACCGACCAGTGGTTTGTCGGTCAACTTTTTGATGATTTTGAAAATTGAAAATAATTTTGAAATTTAATTTAATATAAGAGATATATAGTTTGAGTTTTGAAAGTAGTATTTTTTAATTTTCGAAAAATGAGACCAAACGGATCTCATTCGTCCAATAGTTTGCATAATCGTGCCCGATACCGTGAATACTACACTTTCCCGAAAAATAAGTGTAGACCTCACCGATAGACCAAAATCCTGCAAACTAAGAGATTTGTGACATCCGTCTGGTCTGCGAAATTTTTACGTGTCACCGACAAATTCCCTTATTTAATATAAGGATTATATAGAATTTATTTTACCTGTGTTCCAAGTTCCCTGTAGAGGCAAACCTTATAGTTAATTACATCTCAAATGACGGGAGTCACTTGAGAAAACTCTCGATAATGATCGAAGGTATTAGTCTTCAAGATTTCAAAGTTTAAGTTTTCACGGTAGGACGTAGGAAAACAAGTGAGAGTGGCTCAAATAAGAATATTTATTTTCCGGAGTTCAAAGGAAAGAAAAAGTAGGAGATGTCACAGATTCTGA